TATAATTTAATATCCCGTGCAAGGAAGTCATGTGGTGTACACATCAGGTTTTTTTTTAAACTTATAAAGCTTTTTTTTTTTTTTTTTTTTTCTTCCTGATTATTACCTCCAGAATGAAGCTACAAGAACGAAAATCTGGAATTAGATCAAATTTGTAGCCAATCGAGGTATCGGCAAATCAATTATGAGACTGGTATCTGCTCACATAAAAATTCTGAAATTCGGAGATAAAACACATTTATCTTCTCCTTACAGAGCAGAGCGCCGAGTACATGTTTGTGTCTCCAATTTCTAAAACCTTTTATAGCACCACGTCCTCTGAGTCACTTGGAGAGAGCCCACGTTGAACCTGAAGAAAAGTTTTCTCTTGTTTATCCCAGATATCGTGGAAGAGAAGCGATCATTGTTTGTCGCCAGACATGAAAAATTTAAAAGCTTTATGATCACCTTAAACACTTACGACTCTTGTTTTAGTGGAATTCATAGCACTTTATATGCTAATTCGCGCACATTTAGTGCGGAATTCAGCTACAATTTCCGTTTAGAACTATATCGAATCAATATTTATATCTTATATTTTCCGCATAAATGTTTCTTGCAATTTTGCTGCGAAGAAGAATTTAGATTTTAACTGCCGATTTAGCTTTTAAAAACTGGCAACAGATTGTAATTATCCATGCTTTTCGATCATAGAGACAGAGCCAAATTTAGACTTGATAAACGCCTAAGCTATTTGAGATATGGGGCCATTTCTAAGTTTGTTATAATATATTTTAATACTATTTATACTACATTTTCATTTTTTTGGGGGGCCCCCATGAAAGTGGAGGCCCTAAGCTATAACTTGTGTAGCCTTATACGCAAATCTGGCCGATACTTGCGAGATCGTTGCCACTCGGAAAAATGAGGGCGAAAATTATCGTTTTTCCCAGTTTTTAATTAATATCTCTGATTTTGGTTATTTTTTTGGGGGGGGGAGTGGACCCACCTTGTTCACTAAAGTCCTTATCCGACCTTTATGTCTACAACCGTTGGTCGTAAACACATTTCCAGGCATAAAAATGTTTAAAATGATGCAAAGATTCATATTTTCGCACGTTACTCCCGTATTTCAGAAACTTTTGCACTCGTTATAAAAAATAAAACACAGATTGTTTGACTACCGTTCGATAAAAACTGACGGAGATATTTAATTTCGAAATTTGAGATACTCGACGTCATTTTGCATTTTGCGTTGAGGGGTCGGTTAATATATTAATTCGGATAATTTGAGGTTGATATTTTCCCTTTTAAATGTGATTCAATGATATTTTTTGTGATTTACTGATTTTTTATTTATAATTTTGTTGCATTTGATATGCCGAAACAATTTTCATACAAGTAATTTATACACTGCCGGGGAAAACGCAGTTTTTATAAAATTAGCTGTCAAAATTTTAGTTCCACCATGTTAATTGAATCTTGTATATATTTAGTATTCATATCTCTTTTTTTTTTTTATTAAATTTATTTTATTCTTCCTTTAACATTTCGAAATTTAGGATCATTCCAAAAAAATTCGCGCATTTTTTGATTTATTTTTTAAATTTATATTTTTAAATAATTTTTCGAGAAAAATTTTGTATTATAATCTACAAAATTTTTACCATCATCTTAAAGTAGATGTGTTTCTAAGCATACCTGGAAAAATTTAGGTTTTTATTATTCACAATTTCCTAGGATATACGTGAATTTACATATTTGGCGCGTTTTGAAATTTGGCATAAGCGATAATAACGCCAAATGTGGTTTACGCACTTTGTTTAAATTATTTGAAAGTATGAACGATGACTTTTTTTTCCGTTGTATGCAATGTAAAAAAGGAAAGGAAAATAGGTTGCTATAAATTAAGAAATTCGCGAAGTGAATTATTCTTGGCGCAAATTGAAAAATATTTCACCAAGATAAATTTTTGAATTTCTCCATAAATTTCGAACCAAATTTTACAAAATTTAATATCTAGGCATAATTTGAGTTATAGAATCGAAATGTGGAAAAAAAGATGGCATGTCAGTTCAGAAAAAGCCCGATTTTGTGTCCAAATAGCTATATTAGAGCAATGCTATATATAAATCTGATACATATCCTAAGTTGCGCTTTCCGCAGATGGAAAACGCAATTTGAGTTTCGTTAATCGGCCCAGTAGAACGGTAAAATATAAATTAAGAGACAACAATATGTTAAAATAGTAATTCCAGAATCTGTTTTAATTATAATGGAAAAAGTTCATCATAAATGTATTGGTTCTATTAAACATTGGTCATACATGTAAACGTTATTATTGTATATTATTATTGTATATATTTGTTGTATAAAGTTATTATTGTATATATTTGTTGATCAAAGTACATATTGTAACTCTGTAGTACACTGCGGGGGGGGGAATATAGTTCTTTATCTTCCGTTCTACTGTGCCGCTTCACGAAACTCAGATTGCGTTTTTCATGTCTCGAAAGCGCAACTTAGGATATGTATTAGATTTATATATATAGCACTGTTCTAATATAGGTATTTTGACACAAAATAAGACTTTTTCTGAAATGACATGCCAATTGTTTTCCATATTTCGATTCTACGACTCAAATTATGCCTAAATATTCAATTGTGGAAAATTTAGTGGAAAATTTACGGAGAAATTAAAAAATTTATCTTGGTGAATTTTTTTCAGTTTGTGCCAGGAATAATTTACTTGGCGAACTTAAATTTTTAGCTACATATTTTCTATTCCTTTTTTTTCATTGCGGACGAGCGGAAAAAAAGTCATCGTTCATACTTTCAATTCATATTAACAAAGTGCGTAAACCCCCATTTGGCGTTATTATCGCTCAAAAAAAAGATGCCAAATTTCAAAACGCTCCAATATATAAACTCAGGTATATCTTCGAAAATTTTGAATAAAAAAACTGTAATTTTTTTGCAGGTGTGCCTAGAAATACATCTACTTTAAGGTGATGTTAAAAATTTTATAGGTTATAATTCAAAAATGTTTTCGAAAAATTTATTAAAAATATTTAAAAATAAATCATAAACAAATGCGCGAATTATATTTGGATTAAGGCTAAATTTCAAATTCTGGAAGAAGGAATCAAGTAAGTTCAATAAAAAAAAAGAGATGTTAATAAATAGATATCAAATTCAATTAACATCGAGGAGGTAAAATTTTGAAAGTAAATTTTGTAAAAACTACTCTTGCGATTTTTACAAACTTGGCAGTTTGGCATAATTTGAGTCGTAGAATCGAAATATGGAAAAAAAAAATGGCATGTCATTTCAGAAAAGAGCCTATATTGTGTCAAAATACCTATATTAAAACAACACTATATATAAATAGAACACATATCCTAAGTCGCGCTTTTCAGACATGAAAAACGCAAGCTGAATTTTGTCAATCGACCCAATAGAACGGGAGATATAGAACTGTCCCTTTTTTTTCGGGAGAGGAGGGTATACAATTTTCTGTTCCTCATCCAATGCTATCAAAATACACGAATAATAAAAACAAAACATCGTAGGTTTTTCTTGTTTGGAATGCTGATTTAATTTACATAACAAAAGAATTTATTCTCCAATTAAACTAATTTAAAAATAAGTAAACTGCTTACATTATATTCTGTTAATTATAATACAGGTTATTCTTCTTTCCTCTTTGATCTAAAGATTAAAATTTTTAGTTTGGAAATTCTCTTTGAAAAACTCTACTTTGGAAATTCATTGGTGATAGGTTTTGGTTTGGTTTATGTGATTATGGCAAATCCTCGAGGACTATGCCTTCTAAGGGAAAGGAATGCCTTCTAAGGGAAAGGAAATGCCTTCTAAGGGAAAGGAAAGGAATGCCTCCTAAGGGAAAGGAATGCCTTCTAAGGGAAACTGGCTAGTATACACGTTACGCATGGGGAAAAACACGAAAACGCCTACACAGCCAGCCCGTTCGAGGCATTCGAACCTTGGACCGAACTACCAGTGTTCAGCGATGTTACCGCTCGACCGCTGGTGGGTTTTCACTGGTGTCAAGTGAAAGCACGTGCGTATACTAAATATGTCTTGTGATTGGCTTCTTGAGTACTTCCATGCAGGTAAAATTTTCAAAGCATGCTATGAGAGAATGTGTAGTTATAATCAGGGGCGTGTCTACAGTTTCCAGCGCTAGGGGACTGAAGAATTTGCGCCCCTTTCTGTGTGCCAAGAATGGGAAACATTTCATTAAAAAATTTCGTAGCATCAATTTAGCCCCCTTGGATGCTGCGCCCGCAGACAGATGTACTCCTTGCCCCCCCCTACCCCCCCCCGGGGGTCGACGTAGAGAACTCTGCGAAGCTACTGGTTAGGATCTGTACCTAGGCAGTCTCGGCCACGGGGGTATAAAATTTATGAACTTGGTGGTTCTGAAGGCTCTGGGAAAGGTCACTTATTGGCCGGCCCCGGAGTCTGGCACGTCCTAGCGCGGCGTGGTTCTAGTAACCCGGGGGTCTCCCCCGGGGTCGCTGGGTAATGTCCCGCTGCGACGGGCTCGCCAAGCGACTGGTAGGAGCATTAGACGACCGGTGCTGCCTGGGGTGCGTCCCCAGGTGGTGCGCTGCTCTCCTGGAGGGTAATAGTGGAGGTTGAACCACCATGATGTGCCCAAAGGGGGAGTGGACCCGGAATGAGATTGAGTTCTAGATACGGGGAATGCCCTAATCTTCTTCTTCTTCTTCTTGCCCCACCCTAGTTACGCTACTGGTTATTATGCGATATCATTAATCGACAAATAACATTCATGAAATGGTGATTCAGTGGAATTGGGAGAGAAAAGGCAGAATTTTAAAATTATAATAATCTGTAAAAATTCACCTGCAGCAAAAATTTAGTATTTTTCAATGTTTGTGAATTTTGGAAATTTAAAATCTTGAATTACTTCCTGACAGCCTAAATACAGTGACATTGAAACAACAATCAATAAGTTACTTAAAATCTCATTCTTTCTTAACTTACATTCGGCTACAATCCACTTCTCGGCTTTCTTGACTCGCTTGAAAAACATATTTGCTCCCTTAGATTTCATGTTGCAATCATCTGAAAGTGATTCGGCGATTTTGCGGCACAATCGCACTTGCTCTTCGACTGTGGGATAAATGGCATTCGGCTCCTCGTAGAAACTCGACGAAGAGAACATTTTTTCTGCAAAATAATAAAGAAAAAGCAGAATTTCAATTTTGTAAATTGATAGTTACGAGATAAAAAATCTGATGTGTACACCGCATGCCTTCCTTGCACGGAATATTGAAATATACGCATTTTTTCCGGCATTTCATTTAAACTTATTTCCTGGAATTTCACTAGAGATAAATTTCTCATTCAATTAATTCAGTTCTCCCTTCTCGGCAAGGCAAAAATACATAAAAGCTCAAAAAAACTTTATTAAGGATTGAAAAATATAGAAAAATATAAAACATCAAATACAGTTAAAACAACTAAAAAAACAATTTTTACAGTTAAAATTAGAGTTACATAAAAACAAGCAATTCGGCCAGCGGGCAAGAAGACAGATTTTGTTTTACTTTTGGTCTTTAAACTGAAGGTTTACTTTTGGTCCCACTCGACAAAAAGACATTGAAGGTGCCGAAACTCATTTAATTCACTATTCTGTTAAGTTTAAATGTAAACAAACATGGCTGCTATAGCAAAAAAAAATTAGGCTTAGCCGCACTTAAACAACCTTTAAATTGTTGACAATTCTACAACTATTGCATGCAGATTAACTAAATGCATAATAACCTTAACCGGAAGATAAGAACGACACAATTCAATCATTTTTAAAGCCAAAAAATATGAAATTTATTAACTTTTAAGAATAAAAAAAAAGCGCGCTCTTGTATTTTTAATTTTTCCGGCTTAGCTTTCTTTTAATATTCGTCACGCGCTGCACTGCGCGAGAAATAAAACCATTTAATTTATAATTGAACTAACATTAGCTTTTTAAATACCAAATTCGTAACACTGCCCCCTTCCCAAGGACTGCACGTCCCGGGCAGTACAATCCCTGGACAGAAAGCTAAACTTACAACTGTGGCATAAAATGCAACTGAGGCATAAACATTACATTACAATATCAAACAATATAAACAATAAATTCAATAACTAACTTAAAGAAATCAAATGCTATCAAATACTAAATACAAAACAAATACTAAATACAAATCAAATACTAAATGCAAATCAAATACTAAATACAAATCAAATACTAAATACACATTTATAAACAAAAAGGACCATGGTCTGATACTATTTACAATTATTTATATTACGTACTATGGCCATAGTAATGAGCTAACCTATCGTAAGAGTTCGAAGACTCACAGGTCCGAGCCACGACGTCATTCGTGTTCAGCACTGTATATGGACCATCCGAAGGTGACTGTAATTTAGGACTCAGTCCTTTTCGTTGAATTGGGTTCCACAACCACACCTTGTCTCCTTTGTTGGATCTCTGTCTAGTAGCTCTTGTGTCGCATCTGGTCTTCACTTTCTCCGTCGCCAAGTTGACTCGCTTTCGTGCACAACGGTGCATCCTCAAACCGGGCCTGGGCATCTTGGATGTGTTCCTCAGGCGATGAAGGCGCATCCGTAGGGCGACTAAACAGGCGGTCACAAGGCAGACGAAGGTCTCGACCGAAGAGCTTCTGGGATGGGGAATAGCTGGTAGTCTTGAGTTTCTTTTCGACCCTGGTATGATTTCGGCAGCTTCCCGAGCTCGATCTTTCGGACAAGGCGTCGACATTTCCAGGCGAGGATCCCTTTTGAGGATGGATAGTCATGCCATCAGATGCTGAAAGCAGCTTATTGTTTTTGAAATCTAAGAAAAAATTGTATTTCCTTAAAAAGTCCAATCCGAGTATGCATGGATCTGTAATATCTGCCACATATGCCGTGTGATGGTAGGCGGCACTTCCAAACGTGATGTTTACGTTTAACTTCCCAGTTATGTCGATCTTGTCACCAGACGCAGTCTGAAGGGTAACACAGGATGGCGTCCAAATAAGTTTATCTTTAAACTGTTCAGCTAAATCTTTCCTAATGATGGTAACATTAGCTCCTGTGTCAATGATCATATTGCAAGGAACTCCATCGATATTCCCATTGATGGACAGTCCGTTATTGTTGCCACTCACTATAGAGATCTTAAGCGCTTTAAAACAGGGTTTTTTCATTATCTGGCAACCTCCGTTCCTTGATATGTTCATTAATTTGTTTCCTGCGTCGTTGCTCAGAAATTGTCTCAATTTTTGTACCCTGGGGTGTTCTGCAGTTCTTTCGTACACATGGCCTTCAGTTGCACGCAGTTCCAGCACTTTGGTTTTCTTGTCAGTCCTCCTTCTTCCGTCCCATGGCATTTAATTGTCTGTTTAAATCGTATGCCTTATTTTCCGTGCTCTGGGGAGTTCTGCAGTTTCCTTCGTAGGTGGCCTTCAACACCGCAATTCCAGCACTTTAGGATCGGTTTTGTTTCACCACTATTTCCGTCTTAAAGCATTCACTGGTCTTGTCAACTCATCCGTTTCATTATCCGTGCCCTGGGGTGTTCTGCAATGCCGTCGTAGGTGACCTTCAGAACCACATCTCCAACATCTTACAGCCACTTTGTTCTCACTGCTACTCCGTATCAAAGCATCGACTTTTCTGGATAAATCATCTAAACGAGCCATCAATTGGTCCCCTGGGTCGTGGACTCGCACAGCTCTGACTGGGTAGCGATCCCTAAGAGTTGCTTGCTGGGCTGCCTCCAATTTCATGGCGTACACTAAAGCGCTTTTCAAATCTTTAACATCCGCCATTCGCAGTGCTTTCTGTATTTCAGGGTTCCGGATGCCATCGACGAAATATTACAGCGACAGGATTTCCCTCGTTTCTCTCGGGCACTCCGTAAAGGCGAGGTGGGACAGCCTTTCAACATCCGTGGCGAGTTCCTGGAGTGATTCGGTGGGCTTCTGTTGACGGGATTTTAATTGAAGCCTGCTGTAGTCTTTTAAACATTTCTCGCCAAAGCGCAGCTCCAATGCGCCGGATAGAGCTTCGAAGTTAAGTCTTTGGTTTTCAGGAAGCGTCTGCAGGATATCCGCTGCGTCTGCTCTCAGCGAAGCGGCGAGATGACAGGCCTTAGTTTGGGAATCCCATCCATTCGCATCCGCCACGATAGAAAACTGGGTCTTATACACTTGCCAGGATGTCTTCCCATCATATGTGGATAGCTTCAGAGATGGACGAGCAGGCATCGGTAAGAATTTAAAATCATCACTCTTACTCCCAGCCGTCGCTACGAATTTCTTTAAAGTTTCCAGTTCTTTGGCAACCGCAGAAACCCGGTCATCAATTTGTTGTTCGATTTGTTTCTGAACGGAACAAACTCTTTCTTCTATTTCTTCTTTAACGAAGAAACATTTTCCTCAATTTGTCCCAACTTTATTCTCAACCACATCTATTCTGCTTTCCATAGCATCGAATTTGGTTTCTATTATGCAGGCAATTTCTCTTTTCATTTCGCATTGACTTTCTTCAATCTTGACTTGAACAGCTTTTATTTCTTCTTTAACGGATTCCTTAACAACTTTTATTTCGTCTTTAAAAGTTAATTGACCAGTTTGAATGGCCTTCATTTCTTCCTTAACGGATTCTTGGCTCAATTTCATTTGTTCCTGTCCCGCTTCAATCTTTTCCTGTACGGATTTTTGACCAGCATCCATTTTCTCCTTAATTTCTTCTTTAAAAGATGATTGGCCAGCTTCCATCTTTTCTTGGAACGCAGCAAAAGGCAGTAATGAGCTGTCTCAATTGTTCTTCCATCGCCTCTTGTTATTGGCATTCAAATCCCACTTCTGACACCAAAAATTGTTGCGTGCGTACGGGTTCGTTATGAAATGAATGCACAAGTCCGATGAAAAATGAACAAAAATTTATTATTATCACAACAAAAATGCTTAAATTTTCTCAAATTATCATGCAGTATTACAATATCTCACAGTAGTTATCTTTTAACTACTCAAATGTCCAATAGAACGTAATTCAAAACAGCTAAAGAACGCTAATCCGCGAATTCGCTACAATCAACAAGAGCAGTTTTCTAAACAACAACAAACTAAGCAGCAACTACAAACTGAGATGTTTTCCTCCTTTTTATAAGATTTTAAAATCACGCGCTAGAATTTTCCAGTACTTTCTCGAAATCAAAAAGAGATATTTATTTATTTAATGCACGCGCTCTTGTATTTTCAATTTTCCGGCTTAGCTTTCTTTTAATATTCGTCACGCGCTGCACTGCGCGAGAAATAAAACCATTTAATTTATAATTGAACTAACATTAGCTTTTTAAATACCAAATTCGTAACATTATTAAAATAATAGTCTTTGGAGTAGGACTTTACGTAAGCGAAGAAACAGTAGACAGCAGGGGCCACATCAAGTCGGTAAGGAAAAGGAGGTTGGGATTGTGAAACTTTCCTTTTCTAAAAATATCTTGACGAGAATGCAACTTTTCTTAAAAAATCTAATGGCGGGTCACTTGCCTATCCAGTACTGGCCACTTCTTAGGCAAGAAATGGTGGCCATTTTATTGTGGAGAGACCTAATAGGCGGCCACCGTTGCCTCCTATGAAGGGATGGACAGTTATGTCCCAATCACATTATGTTCCGTCTACGCGGGACTAGACTCGAAGGGGACATTTCTCAGAACCCGCACGTTTCCAGAAAACCCACGCAGCTAGGAGACCATTTTCCCTTACTACAGACTTGAACGTCGAACAGTAATCGATTATCGCTCAGATTGGGATCACGTGATCCTTCAGAAGCAGAATTTTCTAGGAATCCTTGTGTTTAAACCAGTGCTACCAGAATTCCGTTTCTCAGAAAAGTCCCGTCTAGAAGTCTGTCGCTAGAAGTGATAACCTCGCTAGAAGTGATAAGTTACAACCATTCCTTTTCCGGGATTCGAACGCGGGCCCAGAATGCAGCTTTACGACGCACTGTTATGCAACAAAATTCGTTTGAGTTTCCCCGCCCCCCAGACAAAACGCTCTCATTTATTTTCAGAAGTCTGTCTTTCACATCTCTGTAAAATGTGTTCACATCTGTTCCCCATGGAAAAAAAAGCCCTAAATATGGTGACTTCATTTGATTGGAAATGTCTT